GATGATGCCCCTGATTGACGGCAGCACCGTCATTACAAAGAGGATATTTTTCAGATTAGGGTATCGATAGCACTAATTTTTTGCTAATTCCTATCTTTTTTCTTCCCTTGTTCCATTTTTTCATTCGAGCCTTTTTTCCTCGACACAATTTATGATAAGCCAAAATCCCTCCGCATCCTCTCTGTGAGAGGCAGAGGAACTCAGAAGTAATACGAGCTGTAGCAAATGTCAATTTCAGTCACGCGCTGACAAGGCCTTGTATTTTCAGGCAACAAGCAGAGACATGAGCGATCGTATTTGAAAATGTTGTTAGGCTTTTTCACACGTTTGGAAAAAAGGTACGAGCTCAGCAGGAGATGGCATCGCGGAATTTCGGCTTTCCAATATGCCAAATTTTCAAGAGGGAAGGATACAGACAGCTCTACGAACTAAATATTTGGCATTTTCTTGTACGCGAAACACACATGTTAACGAAAGCTCATTTTACGTCTGTGGGCCCACACCTCGGCAGCAAACATTCTTGCAAAAATATAGCTTTCAGACTGCCCAATTACCGAATTAAAAAAATGCCAACAGAACCGTAATTTGAAATTTAATTTGCACATGCGTAAGATGAAGGGGTGAATTTTCTACGTCAAATTTAAAACCTTTCACTGCACAATGAACGTCTTTGATAAGTCTCAGTCCCTCAGCTCGGATGGTTCCGGAAATAGCTTCTTGCCCACAACGCCCGCATGACAGTTGATCTCTTGATCGCATATGTGCAGCGAACATCTTCGTAAAATTTCAGCTTCCTACTTCGCCTAGTTTCTGTAATCGTCCGCTAAAACTTTTCCATTTTTTCTTCTCATGCTTTTTTTTCAATTTTCCTTACATTTTTGCTTAAGTTTTTTCATGCTTTTCATGCTCACTTTTTTTTTCAATTTTCAATGCTTACATTTTCAGTCTTCAATTTTTCAAACTTTCCACTAATTTCAATCCTACTTTCAGTGCAAGCCAAGCGCACGCTTACTTTTACCTATGATTATATGTGGGTCGTGAAAAGCCTTGTGGAGTTTGCTGCTCTAATTGCTCTGGTTGCCGAGTTGAAAATAGCTGAAAAATCTGAACAAATATACAAACAGATAACTTCTCGATAATGTGAATTGCTGGACTTCATCAGTTATGTAAAGAAACACGAGGAGCTAAAAAAAACTCTTTCTGCAAGAACGTAACTAATACCCTTGGTTTTGTAATCCCGAAATCTTGAAATAGTAGTAAAAATTGCCCTCCTTCGACGGACTTTCAAATCGCTCACAGTCCAGTAGCTCCATGAGCCTGGAATGAATTTTTTTGCAAATCAAGTCTACTAGCAACTAAAGATCGCATTTTCTGAGGAAGGAAACACACTTTTTTCGAAGTTTCTCTCTGGAGGGAGCACTTGCAATAAACGATTCCGAGACGGCATTCAACTTGTGCACATAGCTTTTGGTCTCTTTCGAATCCGAATCCTCCAACCAACGATATGGATCTCGCACCTGAATTATGGATTTATATGTTATGTGAGCAATTTTAAGCTTCACTTATGCTTTTTTAGCAGCTGTGCAGTGCAGAAAACGCATATTGACGTGGGGCTGTGTGGGTCTGCTCCGATTTTTCATCTCATGACCTATAAAAGCCACAGGGCTAAAATTTTGGGAGCTTAATCTATATGCAAGTGTGGGCCCCAATCCCCAAAATGGGCGCTCTTATGACCGTGGTACCCGCGTACGAACCCGCCAAAATTTTTCACGGGCAACCTGCTAACTTGGGAACCAGAAATGCCGGAAGGTTGAAATTTTAAGAGGAAGTTCCCCGTCTAAGGAGATATTAATGAGCTTAAACCCAGCCGATTGCTGGGTTTAAGCTCATATCCGCGTGCCACCCACGTACGGCCCGCCAAAATTTCTTCCGGGTAAGTTTTAAGAAGATATTCGCCATCCACCTAAGTCTTATTGAGCTCAAACCCAGACTCCAGGCATGCGTGGTACTCACGCACGGGCCCGCCAAGATTTTCTTCGGTTAATTTGCTAACTCGGGGACCTAAGAAGCTAGAGGATTGGAATTTTAAGGGGGTGTCTGAAATTCTTTTAGCTAGAAGCACCTGCCGGAAAAAACAGTGCCGTAGTGGACAAAAATCTGCGGAGAGCCTTGCAAGAAACGCATCTTCGCACGGGCAGCCCGTTCGTTGGCCAATAATTCAATTACTTTTTTGCAAAAACTAAACTCTACTTTCAGCTTTGCTTCAAATTTTGCAACAATGAAGACGATTTTTTTTAATTTTCAATTTTCGAAGATTTTTAAATTGTCGAATTTTCGAGACAAACCAAGCTAATGATTTTCAAAAAAAAAACAAATTTTCAAAAACCTTCTAACTTTTGAGAGCAAAAAAGATTGTGTGCTATGACGATATCTTATTACAACGGCCAGCCAGTGATTTGATGTAGCTATCTTCGGAAGCCAATTACATCCTTTCTAACTCATATGCACGCGAACCAGCGCCCAATTCACGTTGGAATAAATGAAAGTACGGTTTCTTCTCTCTCTAACCACCTCGCCCTTCCCCTCCCCCCTCTCGCTCCTCTTCGCCATCTTTTAAAAGACCCCGTTAAAAAGATTCTGCAGAAGTCAAAACCACTTCAACTTTCGTTATTTATGAAAGGGAGAGCAAATCGGAAGTTGCTCAGGTTGCTTAGAAATTACCTGACAGCAAATTTGATTCCCCAAGATATGCCAGACCAATTTGTTATTGAAAAGGGCGATAAGTTGTGGTTTTATTAAATGAAGAGTAAAAGTATGCGAATAAAATATAAATTTTACAACTATTCTTTTGTACGGTCTCCACGTTGTCCTCTCGTTTTTGATCTGCTTGCACTGTGTTAATACGAAAGCGCAAATTCTGTAGATTGACCCTTAAGCAACAACGAAACTCCGAGGTAAAACATTCTCCGAGGTAAAACACTAGCACTAGCGCTGCTATAGCACTGTTAGCACTTCTGTAGCACTGCCACGGCCAGCAAAGACGCATATTTCGAGAGGTCGTCTGTGTGTGTGTGTTCGGAAGCGAGTCAATTTTATCACCCACTTTCATCTCAGCAATCAGGAAAGCTGGGAGTCTGAAATTTTAGGTGTTTGTTCCTATCCTCCCTTTTTAAGATCTTCCCCACAGGCGCCTGAACCCCGCGTACGGACTTCCTCTTCTCCTTCTCCCTCCTCTCTCCCTCGCTCCACCTAAAACATGCAAATTTCCTTGTCGGGAAACGATTTCGTGCACCAGACAAGGTACAAGACTGAAACTTTGCAGAAATATTCTCTGCGCATATCCGAGCTATTGATTTCAAATTCAGCTGCCGCACACGCTGCCTGTGGTATCTTTTTGATCGAAAGAGCAATGTATGAGCCGCACTAACCATCGTTCTCGTTCGCAAAAATTGGCCAGCGCACCG